CGCACCATTTCCTCATCCCCCATTTCTCTCCCCTCCCCCTTCTCACCCAGACATTCCTCCCCCCTGCACACGGCCCCTCCCCTTCTAGCCCCAGACTCCGTCCTGGGTTGGGTCCCCCAGGGACTTGTCTGGGGAACTGGCAGGAGGAATGAAAGGACACACGTGCGTGATGGTGGGTGTGACCGTGTGTGAGCCGGCCTGTGAGGCACGCTGTCTGGAAGGGGAGCTGTGAGTGCATGTCTGTCCCTTCAGCGCCCAATTGACAGGCCCACGTGTGTGCATGTGCGTGTGTGCGTGTGCGGGGGGCTGAGGAGGAGGCTGGGGCACTGGGGTTTGTCTCCCAGGGGGTTGGGGGTCATCTCAGAGTTGTTGACCAGCTGCCCCAAAGAGCTGCCTGGGAAACTGAGTCAGTCTAAAGGTGCGAGTGGGGGGGCCCTGGGGCATCTGAGCTCCCAGCCCCTCAGGACCAGAAGACTTGGTGATAAACATCATCGTTTCCATGCCCTTCTTTCTAGGATTAGAAACAACAGAACAAAACAAACCTGCATCTAATTCATTTTTTTAAAATATATTTTATTGATTTTTTACAGAGAGGAAGGAAGAGGGATAGAGAGTTAGAAACATCGATCAGCTGCCTCCTGCACATCTCCTACTGGGGATGTGCCCGCAACCCTGGTACATGCCCTTAACCGGAATCGAACCTGGGACCCTTCAGTCCGAAGGCCAGCGCCCTGTCCACTGAGCCAAACCGGTCAGGGCCCTGCATCTAATCCTTTCTGTCTTCTCTTATGAACTGATAACGTTTCTCTCCCTCCATAGCCGTCTTCCTGTGTCTGTGACCCTGATTCTTTTTTAAATATAACTTTATTTTATTATTTTTTTATTGGCGTTAGAAAGAGAAAGGGAGAGGGGGGAGGGAGAAACAGGGAGGGGCTGCCTCCAGCACGGACCCTCTCACCAGGGATCGAACCTGCAGCCTGGGTATGTGCCCTGACAGGGAATCGAACCTCCAACCTTCCTGCTCCAACCAGCCGAGCCACACGGGCCAGGGCTGTGACCCTGATTCCTTATCCCTGTGTCTCCCCATCTTTCTCTCTCGCTTTGCCACTGTCTTTCTCTGAGACGATCATTTTGTCTCTGTCTTCCTGGCTCTGTTTCTCTGTCCATCTGTCTGTCTGGTTCGCTTTCTCTGTGCGTTCCTGTCTGATTTTCTCCATCTCTCTCTCTCTCTCTCTCTCTAATCTCCCCCTCCCCCCCCCCCCCCCCCCCCCCCCCCTCCCCCCCCCCCCCCTGCTTACTCTGGGTTTGTGTGTGTTTCTAAATTTCTGGCTCTGTCTCCCTGATGTTCTTACTCTGTTTATTCTGTGCCTCTCTCTCTTTTTGAATGCCTCTCTGACTTTCTCATCCATTCTCTCTCTCTCTCTCTCTCTCTCTCTCCAAAAGCCATTTCAAGGCTTACAGAATCTTTCCCTCTCTCCCTCGCTCTCTCTCTAGCTCTCTCTCCCCTTGAGTTTCTCTCCTTTATCTCTCTGTATATATTTCTATTTCCTTCTCTCTGAATGACTGTATCCCTACCTCTTTTTTTTTTTCTTTTTCCGTCTCCCGGCTTTTGTTTCTTTCTGTTCCTCTTAGTGGCTGCCCATTTCTCCTTTCCCACCTCTACCTACCTATCCATCAGCCTATCTATCTGGGTCTCCATCCTCCCTCAGTTCTCTACATCTCTGTGTTTCTCTCTCTCTCTCTCTCTCTCT